CAAATCTTCAAAAACGAAGGCAAACAGGTATCAAATGTCCATTTTTCACAACGGTTATGCTGACGGAAGACTGAAGTTTTCCAGTATATTATGGGCACATCAGTGGAAGTGGATGCTTGTTAGTAACTGCTGAAGTACATCTTGAATGCCAGTTTTTTCAATTGTTGCCAAAAACCCAGATCTCAAACATACCATTGCTGTGGCATCATCAGAGTGTGCTCCTGTAATTCTTCCCAACTCAGTTCATTTGCTGCTACTTCAGAACTATTGTTGTTAGTGTCAAGTAATAGGCTTGTGAAAATGGCATATCTACAGTTTTTATTTTATCTTGGAGAAGGTGGGGCAGGAGGGAGGCAAAGGAGGGAGGAAATGGGGACATATGTAATAATGTCAACAATAAAAATTTAAAAATCTAGTCTCTAAAGCCTAATTGTGATAATAAGCAAAGCACAATTTTCTTCGTCAGTACATGAGCTGATGTTTTGTGTTTTAAAATTTTTTTTTGGATTAAATTTACTGGGGTGATATTGGTTAATAAGATTATATAGGTTTCAAGTGTACATTTCTATGATGCATGATCTGTGTATTGCATTGTGTGCCAAAGTCAAATCATCTATCACCATATATTTGACCCCTTTAGCCTTTATTACCCCACCCCCTTCCTCTGGTGACCACCATACTGTTGTATCTATGAGTTTTTGTTTTTCTTGGTTCATTTGTTGCTTTCAGTTTTATATCCCACATATGAGTGAGATCATGTGGTTCTTAACTTTTCCTGTCTGACTGACTTATTTCGCTTAGCATATTCTCAAGATCCATCCATGTTGTTACAAATGGCAGTATTTCATCTTTTCTTATGGCTGAGTAGTATTCCATTGTATATATGTTCCACATTATCTTTATCTGGTCACCTACCTGAGGACACTTCGGTTGTTTCTATGTTCTGACCACTGTGAATAATGCTGCAGTGAACATAGGTGTGCATAAATGTTTGCAAATAAAAGTTTTTAAAATTTTCAGGTAGATACCCAGAAGAGGGGTTGGTGGATCATATGGTAACTCTATTCCTTATATTTTGAGGAGGCTCCAACTGTTTTCCATAGTGGCTGTACCAGTTGATATCTCCACTGATACTGTTATAATAAACCTGGTTATTAAATAACAGGAAAGGAATAAAAGGGAGGCTGCAAAATATAGGCACGCCATTGACACAGCTTTGCCTGGAAACTGCAGTTAACATTCTCCAAGTCTATTCCGCACAGATCTATGAGGGAAGGGACTGGACAATAGAGACATGCTCAGTATGGTCTGGGTGATGTGGAAGATGCTTACCTGTCAGTCACACCTGGGAACAAGTTAGTGTCCAGAATAGGCATGGCCACTGCCAGTGTGGAAGATTTGATATTTAAGCTCCTGAACAAAGGAACGTCTCCCCTCCTCCCTCCCTCTCTCTCGCTGCTCAAGCCTGGCTTGCGAGGGCTCCCACTCTCTGTGAGCCACATGGGACCCACACAACCGACCAATGGACTAAATCTAGCCTAATGCTACATTGGACTCAACTCCACTATGGAATGGAAACTCTGGACACTGGCCCTACTTTTGGCTCTGCTGGACTCCTAGCTGCATCTTCTCCAGGACTGATTTAAGGAAAATGTGACTTTGCAACCAGAGAAAGATAATTCCACGCCAATAAAACAATTCACTCTCCTGTGCAAGTCTTAGAAAAGTCATTTTTCTCAATATATCACGAGAGCCACCCCACTCCGACTAATGTCTGGGAAATTGGACCCACTGATTTCTCTGGCAACACCACTAGCAATGAATAAGGATTCCTTTTTCTCCACAACCTCTCCAACACTTGCTAATTGTCTTATTGATAATGGCCATTTTAACACATGTGAGATGGTTTCTCTTTTTTCTGTTAGTAAAACTAAAGTTTAATTTTGAAGGCAGTTTTATTGTTTATCAAATCATTCAATTTAACAAAGCACTTTACAACATGATAAAATCACATTAATATGATGCTTGGATAGAGTTGAGATCATAAATTTTATGTTTTATCAAACTATAATGTCTTTTTTTTTAAATGCCTTTTTTTAAATTGTAGTTTTGATTTGTATTTCCCTAATAGCTAGTGAAGTTGAGCATCTTTTCATATATCTGTTTGCCATTTTTAAGTTTCTTGGGGGAAGTGTCTGTTCATATCCTCTGCCCATTTTTAAATTGGATTGTTAGTTTGGTGTTGAGTTGTATGAGTTCTTTTTTATTTTTTATTTTGGATACTAACCCCTTGTCAGAACTGTTCTTTGCAAATGTGTTCTCCCATTCAGTTAGTTGTCTTTTTGTTTTGTTGGCAGAAGCTTTTTAGTTTGATATAATCCCATACATTCATTTTTGCTTTTACTTCTCTTGCCTTTCAGGTCAGATTCATAAAATCCTCTCTAAGCCCAAGGTCCGTAAGTTTAGTACCTATGTTTTCTTCTTTGTAATTTATTGTTTCAGGTGTCTTATATTTAGGTATTTTATCCATTTTGAGTTAATTTTTGTATATGGGGACAAACTGTAGTCTAGTTTCATTCTTTTGCATGTGGCTTTCCAAGTTTCCCAGCACTATTTATTGAAGAGGCTTTCATTTCTCCATTGTATGTTCTTGGCTCCTTTTTCAAAAATTATTTCCCATATATATGTGGGTTTATTTCTGGGCTGTAAGTTCTGTTTCATTGATCTGTGTGTCTGTTTTTCTGCCAAAACTATGCCATTTTGATTATTTTCACTTTGTAGTATAATTTGAAGGGAGTGTGCTACTTCTGCCTTTGTACTTTTTTCTCAGGATTGCTTTGGCTATTTGGGGTTCCATACAAATCTGATTCCCTGCCAAAGGCACAACATGGCTGAGTGATCTGCACATTAAAACATCTGAAGGTGGGAAAGTAGGAGCAAACTGGGGAGGTGGGAAAGCAGAAGAGCTGAGATAGTGCTAGAGATGTGCAGAATGGAGCTCACAGCCTGGAGCTCCCTGCGGGGCTCAACCCAAAGAGACGATTTATCAGGATGTTGACGGCACTCTCTTCAGCCTGAAGGAGCAAAGAGACACACTGAGCATTCCTGCAGAAGTGGGTCGTTCAAGCTGTGGCTGAGCCCAATGACCTGGGCAGGGTCAAAGCACAGAAGTGCGACCACAGTTACCTGGCAATTGACATTCCAGACAGAGAAACAAAGCCATGGAGTCTGGCTTCATCCCCTCACCCTCCCAGAGAAGTAGCAGGTCCCAGAAGAAGCTGTAGCAGTGAGTATTGGTTTTCAGAGCAGAGTATTTGTAGAACTGGTAATACAGAAACATTTTTTCCTTGAGTAACAGGCGCACTCTGCAACTAAACCCAGGGTCAGGTGGAAACTGCAGAGGTCTGCCAATCACCATTACTGGGAGCAAAGAAACAAAGCGACCAACTTTCACC